AAACCAATAAATATATAAAATGATGTACAAATGCTAAAATATGCTCATATATACCATAACAATCTTAAAAATCTGTAATAAAATATCAAATTTGGAAGTCAAGCTTGCAAACAACAATAAAATATATTAATAAAATATCAAATAAGCTCTCAAGTGTAGATTACAAAATAAGCCTATAATAGAATCTTTAATGGAATCATTAATGTCATCCTCCTCATCACTATTAGTTTCTTCTCATTCTCTGTCATCATTCTCCACTAGCTATCGTGTATTCTCCTTCCCCTTCCCCTTCACCTTCGTGTAAAGACAAAAAAGGAAAATAAATGGACTTATAAAACATTCCAGATTATGAAAAAATTGCCCTAAAAGCCAAGGCTGATAATAAAAAGTACACAAAAAGCAAGGCAAACAGGCTAACATTTTAGGCCCCTTGAGGCTTAGGCATAAGCCTCACAAATGTGCCTCAAGGTATATTATTTTGTGAGAGGGAGGACGTTGTGGAATATTAGATTGTCCCTTTTTCGCAAGGACATTTTTATATCTTCATTAATCATTTATGTTACTTAATTCCACTTATGGGTTCCTGTAATTTGCAATTAATTAAAATGAATTCCAATTGTTTCATTATATTAAATAAAAGGAAGATGAAGAAAAAGAAAACACGTGCAAGAAAGCTAAAAAATGTGGCTTAAAATTTTTTTAACGAACTTAATGGTTTCAAAGATAAGTGCACATAACGTCTACGTGTAATTTTTTATTAATATTTTTTCAATGAGGGAGTCTAATGTTTAACTTGGTGATTATAACGTTTGTCTAACAATAGTTTATTCGTGAGTATTTTATGGTCAATTTATTCTATATCACCTTGGTTTAATTAGGTCTCTTTAAAGAAATCATCACCAACATTTTAAGAACAAAAAAAAAAAATCCAGAATTCTGGAATTTTCACAGCCTGCTTTGCCGACATATTAGAAAAATCTAGACAATTTTTTGATATTATCATCTCCGCCATACTAGAAGATTCAGCACCGCCATTAACACGTGTATACTGTATGTATGAGTGAGAATGAGAGAAAGTGAAGGCATTGAGAAAGAGAGAGTGCACGAGAGAGAATAAGAAAGAGATAATTTGTGTTGTCTTTGTTAAATATTAAATTAGAGAGGCACTGGCCCATATGATGGAGGTCTTGGGTTCGAATTTTGGGAGACGCGTCAGAAAGTCGTGAGGGGATAAATGGGCAGAAGCCCACCCCAGAGCGGACAGTGCGTAAAATAACGGCTCCGGTGAGAGGCGGGGTTGTTACAAAAAAACGCGTGTTTTTTGTAACGACCCGACCTCGCGCCGGAGCCGTTATCTTACGTACTGTTCGCTTCGGGAGAGTCTAGGCTCATCTTACCCCTCACGGCTTTCTTCGAACCCGATACCTCCATCATATAGGAGATTTAAGTTGAATCCTGGTACCAATTGGACTCAATTGGTACCGGATTCAACTTAAGTCTCCCATATGATAGAGGTCTTGTGTTCGAATCCTGGGGGACGGGATAGAAAGCCGTGAGAGATAAGTAGGCATAGGTCCTCCCACAGCGGACAGTGCGCAAGCTAACGATTTGGGTATAGAGACCTGGGTCATTATCGGTTGCTCAATTGGTACCAAGTTTCAACTTAAGTCTCCCATATGATGGAGTCTTGGGTTCAAATCCTGGGGGACGTGTCAGAAAGTCGTGAGGGTAAGATGGGCCTAGGCTCTCTCGAAGCGGACAATACGTAAGATAACGATTCCGACGAGAGGTCGTAACGACCCGGGTCCCACTTAATAGGCTGTCCCGACTGTTAGATCGATGACCCGGGTCTTTTAAGCATGCTTTGTCCTCACCGCACGCTCCCCAAGAAAACTTCCCAGGGGGTCACCCATCATAGAATTGCTCAAAGTCAAGCACGCTTAACCGTGGAGTTTCTAACGATGGACTTCCGAAAAGAAGGTGCACCTTGTTGATATGAGTAGTACCTATCAAATCTTTTTAAATTTTCTTGATCTGGGTATTACAATCACCCCCCGTTAGACTCGCGACGTCCTCGTTGCGCTTGATCAATCTGAGGATTCGTTGCCGACGTAGGGATTCTAGAGGTGGCTTCTACGGATTCAAGAGGTGGCTCCCGCCCTATAGCGTAGCACTTTGTCCCGCATAGCACTTAGTTCCCGATTTTCGGGTGGCAACCGGGCTCTGATACCATTTGTAACGACCCGGGTCCCACTTAACGGGATGTCCCGACCGTTAGATCGACGACGTACTATTCTCACTGTACCAACATGAGTCTTTTCAGTATGCTTTGTCCTCACTCGCATGCTCCTCGAGAAAACTTCTCAAGGGGTCACCCATTATAGAATTGTTCCAAACCAAGCACGCTTAACTGTAGAGTTTCTAACGATAGACTTCTAGAAAAGAAAGTGCACCTTGTTTGTATGAGT